AAAAAAAAAAAAAAAAAAAAAAAAAACCAGCAACAACACAGAAATCCCCCTTTATCCATGGCGGATACTCTTCCAAGACCTCCAGTAAGTGCCTGACACCATGGAAAGTACTGAACCTTACATGTAGTTTATTTCTATAATACACTGTATATACTTATGGTAAATAATATAATAAATTAGGCACAGTAACAATTAACAAGTAATAAAATACAACAACTAAAATAATATGCTTTAACAAAAAGTATTTAAAAGTTATGACTTATTTATTTCAGGAATTTTCTATTTAATATTAAGATTGTGGCTGACCACAATAAAAATGTAAGTAAGTAAAAATGTGGAAAGTAAAACCAGGGGGAATAGGAGACTACCATAGCAACAACAGTGGCTATCATCCTTGAGGTACTTACAATATACCCAGAACTGCCCTAAACATATTTTATGCATTAAGTTGTAAGAGAGAAATGGCACAGAGAAAGGGCCTGTCCTCAGAGAAAGCTGTCTGTACTATGGCAACCAGGAAGCAGAAAGAGAAAAGAGAGATATCCTTTGAGATCACACCTGCAGTGACCTACCTCCTTCAACCAAGCCTCACCTGTACAACACATTTAGCTACAAACTCATCAGTGGACTAATCCATACATGCACATAACACCTCCATTATCTAACCACCATTTAAAAGCCCCGCCTCTGCCAGGCATGGTGGCGCATGCCTGTATTCCCAGCACTCAGGAAGCTGAGCCAAGAGGATCACTGTGAGTTTGAGGTTAGCCTAGGCTACACCGTAAGTTCAAAGACAGCCTGAACTACACAGCAAGACTTTAAATGAATGAATGAATGCCCTACCTCTAAGCACATGAAGCTCTGGTGGGGAGGGGCATTTCTGACACGAATCATAACATTTTGTTACTGGCTCCGGAAAAACTCATGTATGTTTTCATGTAAAATTTATTTAGTCTCTTTAAGAGTGACTAAAGTCTTAATAGTTTTAGCATTGCTGAAAAGTCTAAGTCCAAAGTTTCACGTGAGACTAACACAAACTTTAAGCTGTGAACCCCTCTAAAAAGTAAAAAGAAATCTAAATACTATAGATACACAACAATATACAAGGGCTTAAGACAAACTAAAAGGAACAGAAAGATAAAAAGGAAACAGAACCAGGTAGAGCAAATATTGTATCTTTCAGCTCTAGCACTCAGGGCAAGGTGTGGCGAGATGTGTGCTCCAAAGGACGTGGGCAATCCTGCCCTCCAGCTTGCCAGTTACAGCCCTCATTGCCTCTTTCTTGGGCTGGCTTTGTTCAACATCTGTGGCTTTTTCCAGATGCTCTACCTTCCTGATTTTTCCAACTTCTGGGGGTCTCTACTGTACTTTTGGTTTTAAACACAATTTTACACACTGCCCTCTCTGGGCCATTTCTGCCCAGTCTCCCAGATCTTTTTCTAAAATCTGAGTAAAAGCCTCTTTGACCCAACTTTTTTATTTTGTATGTCTGTAAAACCAATGCCCATGTAGCTGTCACCAAGGTCAGCTGTCTGCTCAGGCAGTAGCTGGGTACCCTTGGATTATCACTATAGAGGCTTTCCAGTGCCTGGATGGTTGAGCACTATTAAATTAATTTTGGCAAACCAATTTTTGGACTGGGGATCAAACTTTTGATCTTTAAATCCCCAGCCCATGAGGACTCTCTTTTTAATGCAAAGTGTTTTACTTTTTGTACCTTTGACCCAGGGAAAGGTAGGGTCTTAATGATTTTTGAGATGTCCTTAAGCCATCTTTTTTATTGTCCTGATGTAAGGTTCTTCTTGTTTTTTGTTGTTGTTATTGTTTTTTGGGTACTGGGGAACCTTGCACTTATGAGACAGGCAGCAGAACCACTGAGCTAAATCCCCAGTCCCGTAAGGGTCTTCTTTAAAATCTTTTTTATCAATAAAACTCTTCTGCCAAAACTTTACAGGTCCCAACTTTACAGGCCCTATCTCTTTGGTAACCAGAAAAGATTTTTAAATTACTTAGCTCTGTCTTTTGGTCCTGGTTCTCATGGTAGATAAGGCTAAAAGTTACCAGGAGGACCCACACCAAACCTCAACATCACTTTGAAATTTTCTCTGCCAGATTAATTAGTACATCATAACTTAATCTCAGTCTCCTGCAAAGTCTCAGCATATGATCAAAAAGTGGACAAATTTTCTACCACTGTGTAACACACATGGCCTTTAACCTGTCAATGGAATCCTTGTTCTTAACTGAAACCTCCTGAGCCTGGTCTTTACAGTGTGCATTTTTACCACCAATTTGGTCTTTTGAGATCCAACCAGAATCTCTCGTCAATGTCCACTTACAGCACTACAGGGATTTTCTAGTCAGTATCTACAAAGCTTTCCAAACTCCTTTTGAGAACCAGTGTCAAAGGCTTCTAAACTACATGTCACACAAATGACCACGCTTAGTGCCAAAGTGTGTCTTAGTCACTTTCTCATCATTGAGACACAATATCTGATACCCAAATGCCAGGCAAGGTGGCACACGCCTGGAATCCCAGCACTCGAGAAGGTGAGGCAGGAACACTACCATGAGTTCAAGGCCAGCCTGGGCTACCTAGCGAGTTCAAGCCCAGCCTACATTACAAAGCGAGACTCTGTCTCAAAAAAACAAAATAAAAAAAAACAATATCTCAGACCCACAACTTTAAAGAAGAGGTTTGTTTTGGCTCATAGTTTCAGAGGATTCAGTCCATGGTCAGCAGGCTACAAGGAATAAAGGACATGGTAGAAAGGAATGGCAGAAAAAAATCTGTTCATTTCATGGTAGCTCGGCAGTAGAGAAGGGAGGAACCAGGGAGGGAGATATACCCTTCTAGGTCACACACCCAGTGAACCACCTCTTCCTATCAGGCCCCACCTCATAACATATTCAGCTATCATATAAACTCATCAGAATGATCCACTGGTGAGTACAGCACCCCCATGATTCAACCACCTTCCAAGAGCCCCAGCTCTGAGTTCAAGAGGCTTTGGGGAGGGGATTCTTGATATAAATCATAATAGGAGGCTACCACCACAAGAATAGCATGTAACATTCTTAGGGTACTTCCCATTAACACATTCATGACAAGACTGTAATTCCTGTCTCCCTGCTGGGTGGCTCTGATTTAAATTCCATTGTCTGATGTTAAATAGTTAACCACAGGTGGTTCAAACTACCTGTGGGGCAGTCATGCGTGTACCACTGGTGGTGCAAGCCAGGAGAAACACATAAATCCATTTAAAACTCTTAACAACTTATGAGGAGGCTCTATTATTACCCTCATCTTACAGATAAGGAAATCAAAGCACAACGGGTTAAATAATAATGTGACTAGCTGGCAAAAGGAAAGTAAGAGATATGAATCCAATCAGGCTGGCCTCGGAGTGTGTAATCTTAAAAATAATGCACATTTGGGCTGGGGATTTAGCTCAGTGGTTCTGATGCCCACCTTGCAAGCACAAGGTCCCTAGTTCTATCCCTGGTACCAAAATAATAATGATAATAATAATGCACACTGCCTTTACATTAAATTGTCTGCAGAAAAATGGGAGGTAATAAAGAAGATACTAACTAGACCTGGAATCAGGAGATGTTGAGCCCTACTGTTTTCTCTTTCTATACAACTCCAAACAAATTACATTTCTCTAATTATATGTAAGATAAGACTGAACCGGTTAAAAATAAATAGTTCCTTAGTGGGTACCTGCTAATTCTAACAATCTAAGAGAAAAGAATCAAATAAAAAAAATACCAAATTTTTTTCTTGAAAACCCTGCACTTATAAGGGTTGTCTGCTTCCTCTCCTTTCCACTCTTCACCCCCTAAAATACCAATGGAAAACATAAATTATTGTAAAGAATATTAGGAAACCTAATTAATAAATTAAATTTTCTAAATTCTGCCTTTTTTGGTGTTATAATAGGACTGGTCTTCTTTAAGAAATTATAGAAACTAAAGAATAGCAATGAATCATGGTACTGGGCAAAAATTACATCTTTATAACCTCTCTGCAGATACCTGCATCATCTTACAAACAGCAGCCCATATAAATAAATATAAACTCTGCAACCTCAATCATATTGGTTATTCAAATATTTTCAAAGCACAAGAAGTGGAATTGTACTATTCCATGCAGCCACTGGGTGCTACCGCCCTGTCCTGATACTGCAGCTCTCCCCTAAACCATTACCCATAAGGGTATGGAGGGGGCCTGAGAAGTAGGGAGACAGTTTAATAGATCCACAGACACTACTTCCCCTTGATCCCAAGCTGAAGAGCTTTCAAATTCCTTGTAGGATTTCTGTGATTTAGCTATGAGTTACACTTTCCTGAATATTTACTATGCAGCAGGCAATAGGCTAAATATTCTATAAACCCCTCAGTTAATGTTTTCAACAGTCTTACTGGCCTAGAGTTTGACAAACCCCGTCCCTTTTTGGGCAGGGGTACCAGGGATTGAACTTGAGACCTTGTGCTTCTAAGGCAGATGGCAGAACCACTGAGCCAAATCCCAGACACAAGCCCTGTCTTGAGGTATATTTCTTTGTCATTTTACTACACACAAACATTCTGCTTTTCCCTATCAGCCAATCATTAATAATGTGGTAAGGGTGGGGCCAGGGATTTAACTCAGTGGTTCTGCGGCCTGTCTTGCAAGCCCAAGGTCCCAAGTTCAATACCCAGTACCCAAAAAAAAAAAGGAAAAATCTAATAGGCATAAAGGCAAATTGGTTAAAATTACATTTTAAAAATATCTAATTTTTCACAGGTTACATGTAAAGGTAATTACTACACAGTATACATAAGGGGCTACTTATGTAACTCTATCCATAAAATATTACAGGTATACCTATGTGTTAATGTACAGTAAAGGGTCTGGAAAAATAAACTGATAACAATGGTTAACAGGTACAAAGATTGAGTATGGCCAGGGAGTAGTAGAGGGAGACTTTTAATTTATCTATGGTACAGTATTCAAATATTTCATCATAAAAATGTTACCATTTTTATTGGAATGAAGACTGACAGCACCAAAAATGATAATGATAACAGTTGTTACTCTTCACAAAAAAATATCTTTTTTAAAGGTCTCACATTTTCTAGTGAGCTTAGCTGCTAAAGAAGTAAATGAGGAGGGCCAGGGATATAGCTCAGTGGCTCCGCCACATGCCTGGCAAGCTCAAGGTCCCAAATTAGATCTCTGGCACAGAAAAGTGGGGGGGGCAGGGATTTGGCTCAGTGGTTCCACCACCTGCCTCGCAAGCACAAGGACCGGAGTTCAATCCCTGGTACCAAAAAAAAAAAACAAACACAAACAAACAAAAAAAAAGAAGTAAATGAGGGCCAGGGATGTAGCTTAGTAGTGCAGCACCTGCCTGACATGCTCAAGGCCCTGAGTTTGATTCCTGGTACCAAAACAAAACCTTAAGACGTAAATGGACAGAGTACAGTGGTGCTTGCCTGTAATCCCAGCATTTAGGAGGCAAGAACTCATTTCAAAAATAAATGTCCAGCCAGGCATGGGGCCACACACCTGTAACCAGCACTCAGGAGGCTGAGGCAGGAGGATCACTACCAATTTGATTCCTGCCTAGTTTACAAAATGAGTTCAAGGCCTGAACTACACACAGAGACCCTGTTCCCCGCCACCTTCAAGAAAAGAAATCCAGAATTTTATCAAAAGAAATTACAAAAAAATTCTGGTACTAAATTTTATAAATTTGGTATTATATGGTAGAGACAATTTATGAGCGTTGTCAACTACTAGACTACTCCTAAACAGCACATCTGTGATGTTAAACATCTGGTTACTTCCAGCAAAGTAATCTGCGGCATCTCATTTTTCTCTAACTCTTCCCCTCACTGTCTATACTCTTTATTATGTTTGGCTCTAAATTCACTTACCAAGGTTTTTCTCCTTGTGAAACTTTGAGGTAGCAAAGTTGGTATCCTACTTTTAATTCATCCTTATAAGCTAAAAAGGGCTTTTAATCAAGGCCTTTTTCTTCACTCAGACTGCAGGAAGGTAAGGGCCAGATTCTTCAGTAAGCATTATCTCTGCAGAATGGGTACTCTTAGCAGACTGTTCTCATGGATGCCACAGGCATATGTGACAATTTTAGCTGTCACACCTGAACAGAACCCGAACACACCACTCTCATAGGTTATATTCCCATTATGCCATATCATTTTCACACATCCGTTACTCCTACCAGTGTGGGTTCTCACAGAAAGGGGCTAGTTTGAACATTTTTGCTCCATGCCAGTCCTCAGCCTGGCAGACCAGGAACAAAGTGGATTACAAACAACACAATGAGGAGTAGAAACAGGCTGGGAGGAGCCCAGATGTAACACTGAGACTTCTCAACCGATGGTTCTCCCTCCTGCCAGAAGAGGTGACTTCTAAGTTCCAGAACAATTCCTATCAGATTAGTTGTTTAAAAACCCACTCAAGAAAAAGACAAAAAACAACAACAACAACAACAAACATCGAAGGGCCAGGGATATAGCTCAGCAGCACACTGCTTTCCTGGCGGGCGTGAAAGACCTGAGTTCAATCCCCACTTCCCAAAAAACAAAGAACCCACTGAAAGATAGTTTATACTACATCATTCAAACCAGGTGAAAGTGTTATTTCTTTACACGCATATTGTTCTGAAAAGGATGTGAGAGTATTCTAAAACCAGTGATGTAGCCTCAAGCTCATGAGATCCTCAAGTTCAAAGACAAGCTTATAGCTGCACAAAGGTATTCTTCATGAATGTTACCCTCCTCCTCCTCGTCTTCCTCCTCCTCAGCCTTGCTAGGTCACAGCAAGTGCCACAACCTAGCAGGGAGGTAGAAAAAGCAGTGCTAAGACTAGCAACAAGGGGTAGTTACAGCTCTCAAAAATACGATAAAGTCTCATGAATTTAGAGGATTTCAGTCTTACGTTTTGTTGATCGACTCTTGAATTAACCATATGAGGACTGTTAAATATATTCACCAAGGAAATTTTTTTTAATCTTTTGTTTCTTCGAGACAGGGTCTCACTATGTAGTTGAGACTGACCTAGAACTCACTATGTAGCCCAGGCTGGTCTCGAACTCACAGCGATCCTCCTGCCTCAGCCTCCCGAGTGCTGGGATTACAGGCGTGTGCCACCACGCCCGGCCACCAAGGAAATTTTAATGCTGTCAAATTCTGGTATCAGTAATGCTTGAATGATCTCTTACCTGTATTATTGGAAACTGAAGGTAGTTCATGTTGTTAACAAAATACAGAAGACTATAGCTATAGCCCATGAATGCTCCAGCCAGTAGAAAAAAAAGATGATGTTCATTTAAGCAGGTTTGTGCAACAGGTCTATCTAAGCTGAAGAAGAAAAGTTATTAACTGTTAGAGACACAGATCACTGTTTGGGGCTTCATATTTACTGAAGCCAAATAAAAAATTTACCAAAGGCAAAGTTCTCACTTAATGTCCAAATTCTAACAAAATGGCTCATTTTAGGTAAGTGTGAGCAAAAGATTAACAAGCCTCTTTATCAAAGGGAAGAGATTCTTTTTTTTGTTTGTTTTTTTTATTACCAGGGATTGAACTCGGGTCCTTGTGCTTGCAAGGCAGGCCACCGAACCGCTGAGCTAAATCCCCGGCCCAGGCAAGAGATTCTGACTCTCGCTGTTGCCCTATAAACCCGATGTGGGTAAGAATGTCTATAATGGAAGTGATATCACTTATAATTTGGTAACCACATCTGGAATGAGAGGAATCATAAACAAACTATATAAACCTAAGATTGTCATGGCTTCTTTCCATGTTGTCTCTCACACCAGACATCCCTCTCAGGACCTCTACACGCTATGGCTATAAAGTTGCTATAAGAGATACCAGATCCCTTGGGGCACAAAGCCTTTGAGGCAGGAAAATCCATACTGTGTGACATGGATCCCCACTCTTGTACCTGAACTGACTCACAGTCAAAGAAAGAACTCACAAATGGTGTGGGGCTTGCTGCCTGTACGAATGGAGTCCAGAACTCCTGCTGAATGAAGAAAAAGTCATGATGTTTCCCAGATGACAATCTAGAGTTGTGAAGTTCTGAATATTTAGTTAAATCCAAGAGGATTCCCTTGGTGGACACACAGTAGTGTCATAAGCCACTACTCTATCATCTTTTTCTTACATCCTTTAATTTTAAGCACAAGATTTTGGTGATCAAGCTCTTAAAACTCCTCGGCATTTCTATAATCCAGCAAACATCCGAGGGTGTTCAGAGGGAACATATGATTGAGTAAGAGTCAACTTCCCATGGAGTACAGACGCCCTGGATACCCTGACATCCATCTCCATAAGATTCCAGATTGATTGTTTTCTGGAGCCTGAGCTACAAGATGAGGAAGAGATTAGTCGCACTAAGGTCTCTGACACTGAAATCACTAGTAAATGTATTTATAACAAGTTACTCTTCTCAACAACTTGTTGAGAAGCCTTCACTGCCATCTCTGCTGAAGAGATCAGCAAAAGAAAAAAAAGAAAAAAAAAAAAAAAGAAGACTCATCCAGGCTTAGCAACCCTTATTCACAATAAGCCTATATTCCCAGATGTCTTTTACCATTTCATGTTTGCCAATAGGACAGTTTGCACTAAAGAAAACTCATCCCAAAAAGGAATAAAGAAAAAAGAAACTTCCTCTTAAAATGGCTGAGCACAAAAAGTAAATCAAGTATTCAGTACAGCCGGACATGGTGGTGCACGCCTGTGATACCAGTGCTGGGGAGGCTAAGGCAAGAGGATCACTGCATGTGAGGCCAGCCTGAGTTACACAGTTCAAAGCTAGCCTGATCTACAGTGTGAGACCCTGTCTCAAAAAACCAAAAAAACAAACAAACAAAAAAACTCTGGTAATCTATTTTGCAGTGCTGAGAACTGAATTCACGGACTCACTCATACCAGGTAAGTGCTCTACCACATAGCTATAAGCCACGGCCCTCTTAATTTTTAAAGTCAAAAATATCAACATGTAATTTTTATTTTTTCTGGTACTGAGGATTGAACCCAGGGCTTCACGTAGGCTAAGCAAACACTCTACTACCAGTGTGCTACATGCCCAGCTCCTTTTGTTTTATTTTGAGAAAGGGTCTCATTAAGCTGCCCAAGCAGGGCTTCAAATGTAGTCCTTCTTCCTTTGCCTCCAGAGTAGCTGGGATTACAGGCTTGCATCACCACGCCTCGCTCAACTTGTGACTCATGTATATCAATGCCATGTTAAACTGTTAACCCTAACCCTAAGTTTCAAAATTTAAAAAGCTCTGTAAAGAAGGCAGTTATAATCATTTCTAAATTCTTCCTTTTAATTCCTTTCCAAAACACCTTCCCTTCAAACTCCGACCTACATACAAACCTACTTTCAAGAACACCTACAGATCCTCCCTCCTTTTGAACTCCCTCAGGTTCTATCCCCACATCTCACTTCCTTTTTCCCATTATATTCACCTATTTTAATTTTCCTAATGTTCTCAGCAATCAAGGAACTTAGTCTATTTTTTTTCTTTTTTTTTTGGTACCGGAGATTGAACTTGGGTCCTTGCGCTTGTAAGGTAGGCCACCGAACCGTTGAGCTAAATCCCCGGCCCTTAGTCTATGTTTTAATCACTCTCATAAATCCAACAGCACTTAGAACAGAGCATGTTCTATACACAAATGTTTTAAAATTTTTGCTAAATTCAACAAACATAAGACATCAAGGGCCAGAGATTTAGTTCAGTGGCTCCACTGCCTGCCTTGCAACTGCAAGGTCCTGAGTTCAATCCCCAGAACCAAAAGGGGAAAAAAAAAAAAAAAAAAAAGACATCCAAAATGTCTGATGTTGCTGGGCTTGGTGGAGCACATCTGTACTCCCAGCACTCTGGAGGCTGAGGCAGGAGGACTGATGTGAGTTCAAGGCCAGCCTGAACTACACAGTAAGACCCTGTCTCAAAATAAATAAATAAATAAATAAATAAAAATAAAAATGAAACTGATGTATACAAGTAAGCACCTGTGATAGAAGTCTGGAAAACAAAGAACGTCCATAAATTATTAACCTATATGGGTCACCTTTGGCTTAGTAACTGAAGCAGGCTATTTAGAAAGAAAAAACACATTTATGTTACCCCTCAGCACCCGTGCAGGGCACCACCAGGAAACTGTACTGGCCCTTCGTCATCACGGCTGCACACCAGGCCATCACCATCCCCATCGCCGCATGAACAAACGAGTGCAAGAGCTGCTGAGGGTGCAAGATCTTCCCTATCAGCGCCAGTCTGGAGCAGGGAATGGATGGCACAACTGCAAAGAAAATGCATTACTATGGCTCTACGCTTGCACCGTATGAAATCAGAGAATCTCAATTATTCCCTCTCATCCCTCCAAAAATATTCCAGGGCCAGAAAGAAACCCATAATCCAACACAAAACATAGTAGGGAAAGACTGTAAGCTTAAAAAGAAAGAAAAACCTGAAACTAGCACTCAGAAGCTGAGATACACGGATCACTGTGCTAGGCTACCAGCTGCAGGGTAAGTTCAAGGCCAGCCTGAACTGCACAGTGAGACCCTGTCTTAAGAAGGAAAAAAAAAATGCTGAGACAAGAACAAATAAAGACAAGCATACACCAAAAGAAGAAAAGTCAAAGAATGCAGAGATGAAACCTAGAGAGAGCATATTTAATATCTTTTTTAAAAATTAAAATTTCCTGATGGCTGAAGTAATGCCAACCCTGGCACTCTCCTAAGCATCATAGATCACCATGAGTTTGCGACCAGCCTGGGCAACAATGTGTTCAAAACCAGCCTGAACTACAAAGAAAGACCCTGTCTCAAAAAAACAAAACAAACAAATAAAAATAAAAAGTTCCTATCCTCTAGCAAGTTTTCTCTATTTCAACATCTGAAACTGCCCTTACATGATTCATCTGTGAAAAATAACCACATAGTAGGCAAACATTGGCAACATTGAATACTAAAATAAATGTTGGTATGGGATTATTATTCTGTTTTTGAGAAGGGCTCTGACTACAATTGATCCCAAAATCACGGACTCAGGAGATCCTCATGCCTCAGCCTCCAGAGTAGCTGGGACTATAAGCATTCATGCAACACAGTGTTGACACCCTATGGGAATTTTTAGTAACTTTCTGACAATTAAAGTATTCTAGAAGAGACTGAAGTGACATAAGGGCAGTGACTGTAGGTGGGAAGAGACATTTACCTCTGCAAATAGCTAGCCCCAAGGCCCCCTGGCCTATCTATGCAGGTACTAGCCTTTTAATATACTCAAAAAGAAAGACACAGAGGGGAAGCAGAAAACCAAGTGTGAAAGGAGGAGAGGGCTTAGGTACTTTGCACTTTGGGGAACAGAATGCCATCACCTCTTTCTTCCCCAAGAAATGCCCCAAGTGTTGACTGGCTGTGGGACTGACCTCTAACACTGAGTACGCCAACTTCTCCTGTCACTCCACCTTCTTACATGCTAGGTCAGTGCTGGCAAACCTACGCCACATGTGGCACACTGGGCATGCAGTACCCACTGTCAGTATTTGAGCCAAGTCGCCCCAGCAGCCACGCATCAGGTAACAGTTGTTTTTTCAAACTAAAAACCTCAGTATTCATGTTTAATTGCAACGTTGGCACTTAAAAAGTGAATTTCAGGTTGCAACTTGGCCACTCACTCTAAAAGGTTCAACATCACTGTGCTATATCTTCTCTCTGGAACATCACTTTCCTTCTTTGTCTACTTACTACAGCTCTTCTTCCAAGATTTGGTTTAAAGAATCCTCCTCGTACCCAACCAATCATTCTACTCCACCACTTCGATAGCTCTATACATTTGATTATTCTAGGTACTCTACATAAGAAGAATCAGGCAAGATTTGTCCTAAGAGGTCTAAATATACTTTAAGAGAAACTAGCACCAAAATGAAGTATAAGGTACAATATTTAAAGTATATGATTCTGTACATATCTTTAAAATCCTGACACAGAGCTCAGCCTATTAGACAGATCCATATGCAAAATGCACTGAGTCTTCCCTTAGTAAGCTAAATTCGAATTTTTTAAAAGGTTAAACATTTAAAACTCACCTGCATAGAACTCAACATTGAAAATACTTATTATTATTATTACCACTGATAGCAGCAGGAGGTAAAAGACTACATAGGAACTGTACAGGTCACTGAAAGAATCTAAAACATGAAAAGATGAATTAGTAAGGTTTATTCAGGTTTGTGGTCATATTCAGGACACTGCAATATAAAAACTGTGAACCACAACTATAACTTTTAACTTTAATACTTATCTTTGCTCTAAGAATATTTTTTCTCTAAGAATTTAATTATACACTGCTTACAAGTCCAAATGGACATCAACTCAAGTGTGAATTATTTGGATATGGCTCTAGATACTTTAAAACTACAATACAATTTATTTTAAATGACTTATACCTCAGCCCTCTATCTACAATTTTAAATAGATGACAGGAACAGTTCTTTTTTACAAAGAGAAACAATATCAATAAAACTATAAAGTGGAAAGACAAACAAAAATTAAGCTTTCCTTTATGTGGTCATCTAAAGATCTCTTTTTTGTTCCTGTCATCATAGTCTGATGGACTTATTACTTTGGTAGTGTGTTATACAGAGTGCCTTAAACTTATTTCAAGTAAATGTTTTGATATATCAATATCAATTTAAAAATAAATTATTTGAAACACAATGCAACTGTGTTGAGAAGTAGGCCTTATAAATTTGTTTTCTTAAATCAAATATCACTTACTTGATAGCCATTGTATGGGATGAAATAAATCAATGCTGCTGAAGATTATAAACACTGTTGTACATACAGGCAGAAGCACCACAGACCAAACAATACTTGCAACTATCCTCCAACCCAAAACCTAAAATTAAACAAACAAATCCCCTCAAGCATAAAGTCAGTTAAACTTCATAATGTTATGCAAATCCTCTCTTCATACAGGCTGTTAATCATAGTGCTTATATACTATACATAAACCCAAATAGTTACTATTATTAATAACATTGTATACCACTACAGAACCCTGTCTTATCGGTGAACTGATGCTCGCATTATGTCCAGAGTCAGGTGCAATATCAAATACCACATTCTGAGGTGGGAGGGGCTGAGATAATCAGGTTTATTTATCTTTTGCAGTACTAGGGATTGAACCCAGGATCTTAAACATGCTAGGCAAGTGCTCTACAACTGCAGCCTTCTTATTTGGTTTTATAAATACATTTTATGGCAACTAATACTTGTATCTCTAAATTTGATAGCTATATGAATATCTAAAGACTATATACACTTTAAGATTGCCACGATATGTGCTCCTTACTGGGCAACTATTGCATTATGGCACTGTAGTCCTGTCTGAATTGCCAGCGCCTACTACAAAGTGGTCAAAGATTTACTGTTGACTACGTAAATACGAGAGGAAATGAGGTGTTTCAAAACATGAAAATCACAAGTGAATTTATGTTCTAGAATGTTTGTGTTTACTGTAAAGTGGCTCAAAAGAAAATGTATCAGAAGGAACCAGATCCAGATCGCAGACACAGCAGTTAGGGGCAGTCCCCCACATTAGCCCATGCCAAATTACAGTTAATATCGAAATAAAGGGCAGCAGGGCTGAGGATGTAGCTCAGCGGCTCCAGAGCTGCCGGATAAGCGGAAGGTCCTGAGTTCAATTCTTAGTTGGGGCGGGGGGG